AATACAAAAATTAGCTGGGCATGGTGGCGGGCATCTGTAATCCCAGCTACTCAACCTGGGAGGCGGAGGGTGCGGAGTGAGCCAAGATCGCACCACTGCACTCCAGCCTGGGAGACAGAGCGAGACTCTGTCTCAAAAAAAAGTGTGTGGCATTTCCTCCTTCCCTCACTCTCTCTCCTGCCGCCATGTGAAGAAGGTGCTTGCTTCTCCTTTGTCTTCCACCATGACTGCAAGGTTCCTAAGGCCTCCTCCTAGTCATGTTTCCTGGTAAGCCTGTGGAACTGCGAGTCAATTAAACCTCTTTTCTTCATGAAGTACCCAGTCTCAGGTAGTTCTTTATAACACTGTGAAAATGGACTAACACAAATAATAAACTCAAATTCTTCACAAAACCTCCAGAAAATATGAGCTAACAGAACATTTTCCAACTCGTTCTACGATACCAGTATTACCCTGATAATAAAACTAGACAAAGACATCACCAGAAAAAAAATTTATGAACTAGTATCCATTATGAACATAGATGGAAATCCTCAATAAAATACTGGAAAACCAAATTCAGGAACATATAAGACGATTATATATCACCACTAGGTGGGATTCATCCCAAGAATGCAAGATTGTTTTAACATCTGAAATCAATCAAAGTAATACACTGTATTAATAGAAGAAAGGACAAAACACACAGGACCATCTCAAAATGTGCAGAAAGAGCTTTTTATAAAATCTAACATGCTGTCATGATACAAACAAAACAATAAACTAAGAATATAAGGGAACCACTTTAACCTGAAAAAGGGTATCTACAAAAAACCCACAGCAGGCCGGGCGCAGTGGCTCAAGCCTGTAATCCCAGCACTTTGGGAGGCCGAGACGGGCGGATCACGAGGTCAGGAGATCGAGACCATCCTGGCTAACACAATGAAACCCCATCTCTACTAAAAATACAAAAAAAAAAAAAATTAGCCGGGCGAGGTGGCGGGCGCCTGTAGTCCCAGCTACTCGGGAGGCTGAGGCAGGAGAATGGCGTAAACCCGGGAGGCGGAGCTTGCAGTGAGCCGAGATAGCGCCACTGCACTCCAGCCTGGGCGACAGAGTGAGACTCCGTCTCAAAAAAAAAAAAAAAAAAAAAAAACCACAGCTAGCATCATATTTACTGGAGAAAGTATGAATGTTTTTATCCTAAAATCAGGAACACAACTAGGATGTCCTCTCTCATTACCTCTATTCAGCATTGTACTGGAGATTCTAGCCAGAGTAATTAGGCAAGAAAAATAAATAAAGCCATCCAGTTTGGAAAAAGAGAAATAAAACCATTTCTATTCTCAGGTGACACGATCTTGTATATACAAAATCTTAAAGAATATACACACACACTATTAGAACTAATAAACAAGTTCAGCAAAGTTTCATGATATAAGGTTGGCATACAAAAATCAGTTTTACTTCTATAGACTAGCAATAAACAATCTGAAAATGTTTCATTTTATTTTGTTTATTTATTTTTTTGGAGACAGGGTCTCACTCCGTTGCCCAGGTTGGAGTGCAGTGGTGCAATCATAGCTCACTGCAGCCTCAAACTCCTGAGCTGAAGCAAACCTCGAACCTCATCCTCCCAAGTAGCTGGGACTACAGGCACTTACCACCGCACCTAGCTAATTTTTAAATTTATAATGGAGAAGGGATCTCACTATATTGCCCAGGCTGGTCTGAAACTCCTGGCTTCAAGTGATCCTCCCATCTTGGCCTCCCAAACTGCTGGGATTACAGGTGTCAGCCACTGTGCCCACCTGAAAGAGTTTTAGCAAATCCATTTACAGTGGCATCAAAAAGAAGGAAATACTTAGGATTAAGTTTAACAAAAGTAGTACAAGACTTTTATGTGGGAACCTGTAAAACATTGCTGAAAGTAATTAAATAGAATACATAAATGGAAAGACATCTCATGTTTGTGGATTGAAAGAGTTAATATTGTTAAGATAGCAATGCTCCCCAAATTGATCAATCCCTATCAAAATTCCAGCTGGCTTTTTTGATAGAAATGGAAAACTAGTGCTAAGATTCTTATGGAAATACAAGGAACTGGGACTAGCCACAACAATTTTGACAAAGAAAAACAAATTTGGAGGACGTATACTTCCTAATTTCAAAACTGCTAAGATACCATACTCAAGATAGTGTCATGCTGGTATAAGAACAGACATGTAGGTCAATAGAATCGAATTGGGAGTCCAGCTATAAACACACTTACGATCAGCTGATGTTCAACAAGGGTGTCAAGACTATTCAATGGAGAAAGAATAGTCTCTTCAAACAAAAGACTGGGGAAACTGGATATCCCCTTGCAAAAGGATGAAGTTGGATCCCATGGTAGTTTCCTCACTGCCATGACAAATTACTCTAAACCTCATGGCTTAAGAGCAAGAAATGTATTGTCACACAGTTCTGAATGCTGGAAGTCCAAAATTACGGTGTCATGACAGGGCCATGCTCTCTCTGAAGGTTCTTGGGGAGGATCCTTCCTTGCCTCCTCCTAGCTTCTGGCTTGGAGATACTTTGCAATCCTTGGTTTGCAGACACTTGGTTCTTATCTCTGCCTCCATTGTCACATGGCATTCTTCCTGTGTATCTCTATGTCCCTGTACATGGTGTTCTTATAAGGACACCAGTCGTTGGATATAGGTGCACTGCTATCTTGTTTACATCTGCAAAGACCCTATTTCCAAGCAAGGTAATATTTACAGGTGTTGGGAGTTGGAATTCGAATATATCTTTTGATGGAAGCACAATTCCACCCACAGCAGGCTCCTACTTCCCACCATGTAAAAACCATCTCAGAATAGATTATAGACCTACATGTAACAGCTTCAACTACAAAACTCTTAGGAGAAACCATAGGTGTAAATTTTTATGACCTTGGATTAAGCAGTGGTTTATCTGATGTGACACCCAAAATGTCAGAAAGAAAAGAAAAACTAGATAAATTGGAGTTTCTCAAAAATAAAACCTTTGTGTTCTAAAGGTACTGTCAAAGAGTAAAAAGAGAACCCTCAGAATGAGAGAATGGAGGAAAATATTTATAAATCATATACCTGATAAGGGACTTTTTATCAAGAATATGCAAATAACTCTTACAACTCAACAGTAAAAATGCAAACATACCAATTAAAACTTCAGTCCACAAGTTGCCTAATCTAGGGTCACCAAGATTTATATCAATGTTTTCATCTAAGGGTTTTATAGTTTTAGCTCACACATTTAGGTGTATAATATATTTTGAGTTCACTTTTTTATATGGTGGGAGGTAGAGATCTGTTGTGGGCAAAGGATTTTAACAGACGTTTCTTCAAAGGTATACAATGGCCAATAAGCCATGAAAAGATGCTCAGTATTCTTAGTCATTAGGAAAATGCAAACCAAAACAGTAACCTACCACTTCATGTTCACTAATTTGCCTAAAATTTAAAAAGGCAATAACAAGTGTTGATGAGAATATAGAGAAGTTGAGGTCCTCATACATTGATGGTGGAATTGTAAAATGGTGCAGCCACTTTGGAAAATAGTTTGGCAGTGTTTCAAAAAGCTAAACAGAAAGTCACCAAACCGCCCTGCCATTCCTCTCTAAGATACGTATCCATGAAAAGCAAAAACATGTGTCAACACAAAAACTTGTACAAAAATGTACATAGTAGCATTATTCATAATAGTCAAAAAGTAGAAAGAGCCCAAATGTTGATCAACTGAGGAATGGATAAACAAAATCTGGTTTATCTATATGGTAGAATAGTATGCAACCATAAAAATGAATAAAGCTTTATTTATTCATTTTTAACCTGGGTGAATCTTTAAAATATGCTAAATGAAAGAAGCCAGACACAAAAGACCACATATTGTATGATTCCATTTATATAACATGTCTAGAATAGGCAAGTACCCCCCAGCCCCTGGCGACCACTAATCTACTGTCTGTCTGTATGAGTTTCCTTGAATGTTTGGTAGAATTCAACACTTAAGCAATCTGAGGTTGGAGTTTTCTTTGTGGGAATATTTCTAATTATGAATTCAATTTCTTTAGCAGATATAAAATTGTATCAAATTTTTATTTTTTCTTAGGACAATTTTAATGCATTGTGTTTTTCAATGAATTTATCCATTTTATCTAAATTTTTAAATTATTGGCATAAAGCTGTTGGCAATATCCTTTTACTGTATCATTAAAGTCTTGGAGATCTGTAGTGATGTCTCCTGGCATGGCTAATTTATGTTTTCTCCTTTCTTTTTCTTGATCCAGCCTGCTAAGTATTTATCAGTTTTATTAATCTTAATCAATGTGTGGCTTTTAAATTTTCTTTGTACATTTGCTTTTGATTTTATTCATTTCTGCCATTATCTTTATTATTTCCTTTAGTTTTCCTTCTCCTTTTTCTAAATATGCTGTTTTTTCTTTAGTATCTTGAGATTAAAGCATAGATCATTCATTTTCTACCTTTTTTCTTTTCTAATGTATTCAGAGTTGTAAATTTTCTTCTAAGAGCTGTGCTAACTGCATCCTACAAATTTTGTATGCTATGTTTTTATTTCCATGAATTTATAATTTCTGTTGTGATTTCTTCTTTGACATATTGAATTATCTAGAAGAATGTGGATTATTTCCAAGGGTTTGGGTTATTTTCTATATATATATATATTTTTTTGGTTATTAGTTTCTAGTTTAGTTTCAATGTAGTCAGAAAACATATTTTATTATTTTAATCATTTGAAATTTGTTGAGATTTATTTATGGCTAGGCATATGGTCTATTTTAGAAAATGTTCCATGTACACTTTAAAAGAGCACATATTATGCAATTGGTGGGCGTGTGTTCTATATATTGTCCATTGGGTGAAGCTGGATAACTGTATGCTTCAAATTTTCTGTAGTGATCTTTTATTCAAAATTGCTACTTAAAAACAGCACATAGTTGAGATTTTGAAAATCCAATCTGACCCTCATCCTTTTGGGCTGTTAATAGCCCTAGCTCACCACATTCTCCCTTCTGGTTCTTCTATAGCCCACCCACACCTTTAAAAATAGTCTCCTTGAAATTAAATCTTCCTCAAATTATCCTAAATTAAGTGTACCATGTGTTTCAAATTGCAGCCTCAACTGGCTCACTGCCTTCTTTATCCCAGCCTCCATTGCAGTGAGGTTGGGGGCCATATGACTACTGCTGACCAATGGACTGTGAACAGAAACGGCAGCATCACTCCCATGGAGCCTCCTCCATCTCTCTTCCCTGTTGTGACAATCTCAGAGGCTACGTTCTTTCCATGGCTGGGCTACAAGGTGGTGAAAGGCTGCCCAACCTGGTAAGTACTTACTTTGTGTGAGTAAGAAGGAAACATTGCAAGGGTTGGAGCACTGAGATTCCCGGGTGAATTTGGTATTTCTGAACAGCCAATTTTGCCTTGACTTGGGATCATACCATATGTCTACGTTGGCACCATGAGTAGAGCTGTTGATGGATGTTTGCCCTGTTTTGCCTTTTTACTCCCTTCCTTCCTTCCTTGGTTCTTTCATTCATTCTTCTTTCTCTCTTTCTTTTCTCTATATTTCTTTGCTTTCTCTCTCTTCCTCTATTTCTTTCTCTATTTTTCTTTCTTTCTCAGTTTAGTTCTCCTGTGTTCCTGTTGATTCCAAGCCCTACAATTTTCTTCCAGTGAATTCCTTTTCTGCTTTATCCAGACAGCCAGAGCGGGTTTCTATTGCTGGCAGCTAAGAAACCCAAATGGTATACTATTTTCCGCTTAACATTATATGATAGATGTATTTCCATGCTATTAAATATTATTCAAAATATTATTTTAATGGCTGCGCAGTATTTCATCATATTTATGTACCATAATTTATTTAACCATGCCCATGTGTTTTAGTAAATTATAAACTTCTATTAAATACTTACAGTGAATATTATCACATTTACATTTTGGCTTCAATCCTGGACAGCACCTTAGGACATCTTCAGAGTGAAATTACCAGCTGAATAGTATGAACATTTTAAAATCTCTTGTGGCGTGAAGTTAATTTTTTTCCTAGAAATTTTATACCAACTTGTATTTTCACATGTGAGATGAATAGGAATACTCAGTTTTACTCCACTCAATGAGATTGAGTGCTATAATTATATTTAAACCTTCTTTGATAAGCTCTAGGAAAAAATCTCATTGATATTTTAATGGGCATTTCTTTGATAACCAATGAAGCTGAATATTTTTAAATATTTTATTACATATTTTTATTTCATCTTCTGAGCATTTCTCATTCACTATTTTTCTATTGGAATGTTCATTCTTATTGATTTGTAATTACTTTTTACATATTAGAGGTATTAATCTTTTGTCATATTTCTTGCAACCATTTTATTCTTGTTTGCAGTTTCCCAATAAAATAAACTAAATAATTATTAAAACAGAGATTTAAATTTTATGTATTAAATTCTACCTTAACCTTTGTTATTTTTTTCTACTGCTTTAGGTTTAAAATGTCTTCATGTACCCACAAGATCAAACATTTGTTTGCTTTTTAATGATTTCCCTTTCTTACATTTAATTATTTAAATCTTCTGGAATTTATATGAATGTATGGTGTGAAGGAAAGAGCTAATTTTATTTCCTTCCAAATAGCTAATCAAATGTCCCGGCATCATTTATTGAATAATCCGTTTCTTCCCTACAGGTTTGCAACGCCACCTCAGTAAGCTGAGATGTGGTAATTGCCATGGCAACGGGGCTGCCTTAAAAGCACTGTGCACACACAGTGAGAGACTGGTGCCTGACAGAGTTCAGTCTGGTCTCACTGCACATCTTCCCTAATTAAGATGCACCTTTTGGTTTTGTCTTTTTTGGGGAAAAAAAAAATGCTCCCTTTATAGCCACGAGGCAGAAGAAAAATTAAGGCCAAGATCCTTTCATGCCCAATATGGGCCTGCTTGGCTGTTGGAGCATGGGGGATCATGGGCAGCAAGTGAGAAAGTGCACAGTGATTTGCCGCTGTTACATCCTGAGAAACTGGAGGGATGTCATCAAAGTCCTTGAATAGCTGGAGAGTGGGTGTGGGATGGTTATGTTTGAAAATGTAGCTCTGATATAAAACAAAGCAAAGACTGCACTGTTTGCCCAACAAGAGCCTTGCTGGAGACCCTAAGCCTAAGATAGAAGCTTCTGCCATCAACAGGCCACAAAACCCATACTTCCTGCTCTATGAGGCTTCTGAACTTGGTTCCCTGGAATCCTCCCTCCTTATCAGGTATCTGCGTCTAGGCCTAGGGGAGACCAGACCGAGGTCTGTCCTTGTCTGCCTACAAGGACAAGGCATTCTACTGCCGTAGACCACTTGTTTATGTGTCTCTAAAATTTGTATGTTAAAGCCTGAATCCCCAGTACGATCATATTTGGAGGTGGGACTTTTGAAAGGTGATTAGGTTTAGATGAGCTCATGCGGGTGGGGCCCTCATAAGGGTATTAATGTCCTTATGTGAAGAGACACAACGGAGCTTGCTTCCTCTCTCTCTTTCCCCACCATGTGAAGACACAGCAAGAGGGCAGCCGTCTGCAAACCAGAAAGAGAGCCCTCACCAGGAACTGGATCTGCTGGCACCTTGATCTTGGACTTCCCAGCCTTTAGAGCTGTGAGAAATGTCGCCCTCAGGTCAATGGGATATTTGTTACAGTACCAGGTACTGACTGAGAACTCCACCTTTAGAGAGGCCCCAGGGAGCCTGTGTGCTGTGTCCCTGAGGAGACAATGAAGGTGCTTGACACCCAGTTTGAATATCGGGTCACAGCAAAGCTGACTGCTGCTGAAGGAGAGATGCCTTCTTATGGCAAGCCATAAGAAGCAGCAGAAGTCATGAACAGGCTGAAGCTATGAGGCTGAGACAAAATGACACATTGCCACAAAAACAGGGACAAACAGGCAACAGGCAGAGCCCAAGGGAATCAATAATCTCCTGCTGCCACTGAGACCTTGGGACTAACTCAGATCCGGTACTGCTTTCTTGGGGCCTGTTCTGATTCCAGTCCCTGTCCTTGGGGTCCCCTGAGATCCCTGTAGCCTTGTAATAAGCCCACATTTTCATATTTCCCCTGCTGGCTTCACCCTAGAGCATTTCCAACAATTTCCAGTGCTTTTCCCCTTCTCACACCACCGGGCCTTTGCACGTGCTAGTGCCTCCCCAACTTGCTCTGCCTTCTCCTTCACCCAGACAACTCCTACTAAGTCTTTCAGATTCCTCAGCTGTGTCCCTTCCTAGGGGAGGACTCTCCTCCCTCCAGTGAGCCTGGCAGTCCTCCCTGGGATCCCTGCTCCTTGTCTTCCCTGCCGTCCTCACTGCCGTGCTTGTTCTCTATTCAGAAGGAGGCAGAGGCTGGCCTGCCCCCACTCTCCTGTAGACTGACCAGATGAATTGACCTGGGCAGGGCAGGTGTGTTTGACCAATTATCTGGGCACCCCATGGCTCAGTCAAGTCGACACATAAAGTTAACTGCCATAGGGCCCCTTCGTTGTATTTGTCTATGAATAAAAAACGGCATCAACTCCAGGTATCTGAGGGTTCTGGAGGCAGGTTCTGTGATCCCTTTTTACAGATGAGGATGCAGAGGTCCAGTTGTCACTCACCCAGATCACACTCTTATCTGCTGATGGCAGGAGTATTTGCGGGATGTGTGAGCCCGGCCATCTCCCTCGGGACACATCAGCTCATTAAATTTGCCAGCCCTTGCCTGAAAAAGTATTTAATTTGCCTTTTACAATGCACCGATTACAAGTTAATTTTGAAAGTTATAGGTGGCATTAGAATTTATTAATAACATTGGAAATAAATCTCCCCAGAATTCAATTAATTGAAAACCTCATGAAATTCTTTTTTTACAATCCATAAAGCCGGTCTGGGAGAGAGGTGTTCCAGGAACCTCAGGAGTGGTTGGAACTGCAGGCGTGGAGGGTTGGAGTGGGGAGGGGGCTTCTGTTCTGATGTAGGCCTGTCTTGGCTCCCACCTGCCCCTGCCTATAACCTCCAACATGGCCTCTTAGGGTTAGGGAAGAAGCCATGTCCCCATCATTAATGTCCTACCATGTACCAGTGTCAGGGAAGAAGCCACAAACCCATTGTGAATGTCCCGCCATGTACCAGTGTCAAGGAAGAAGCCACGCCCCAATCATGAATGTCCTGTCATGTGCCAGTGATTCATTTGCAGTGATTCATCTGTTCTGCACCTGGCCTGAGCTGGGGACGCAGACGTGACCTGGCCCACAGGACACTCATAGGTGACTGGAAGAGACAGAGCTGGGAGGGTGTGCTTTGGATTTAGGGAGATGAGGAGTGAAGCTGGGGGACCCCAATGGCACCTTGACCACCCTTGGCTGAGCCTAAAGCCAGAGTCGGGCTCTTTCTGCCACTCTGGTAGGAGAATTGCCCCTTGTGGGTTTTCAGGACATGCCAGGAATAGGCTAAGAACAGCGTGTCTTCGTGTGAACCTCTGAGGTTCAGCCCAACCCGGGCCACTTCCACACTGAGGCCATCAGGTCAAGCCCTTGCCAGAGTTACTGACTGATTCGGGGGGTCCTGACTTTCTTCTCTGGCTGGTGGCAACTGCCGCGGGGCAGGCATGGGTGCCTGGCTGGGGACTGAGAAGTTGCTTTCAGGCCCAGATTCTGGGTCCCAAAGCAAGCCTGCCTGCCGGGGAGACCCTTGGGCCTCCTACACTAGAAGAGGGGAGGCTCCGAGGCAGGGTCCTGTCTGAGCCTGCAGCCTTGCTCCACCCCAGGGCTCAGCTGGGCTGAAAGGATGAGGACAAGAGGGTCCCACAGAGCCAGAGAACTCAGTCACAGTCCAGGGCCTCGGGTGCACCAAGGACTATGGCTCAAATGAGTTATAGTCCCTAGGAGAGAGGCTTTGGAAGAAAAGGCATTAGCTGGTTGGGTGTGGTGACTCATGCCTGTAATGCCAGCTATTTGGGAGGCCAAGGCAGGAGGATCACCAGAGGTCAGGAGTTCAAGGCCAGCCTGGCTAACATGGTGAAACCTCGTCTCTACTAAAAATACAAAAATTAGCTGGGCGTGGTGGCACACGCCTGTAGTCCCAGCTACTCGGGAGGCTGAGGTAGGAGAATCGCTTGAACCTGGGAGGTGGAGGTTGCAACGAGCCAAGATTGTGCCACTGCACTCCAACATGGGTGACAGAGTGAGACTTGGCCTCAAAACACAAAACAAAAAAAAAGAGAGAGAGAAAAAAAAAGGTGTTACTGAAGTGGTGTCAGTCCCTTCCCCACCACACACACCCTGTAGGCACACATGTGCCCAGGTGCGTACACACTGTAGCAGATACGCATACCCACACACACATATTCAAGCACACACACGTGCATATATGTGTATATGCACTGGACATACACACATATTCTCATGCAAGTACACTTTTACACATGCACACATGTGCACATATGTGTACACACAAAACACACTCATTCTTATGCATGTGCATTCTCATGTGCACACACATGAATACACTCATTTTTATGCATGCACACACTTGCATATGCACACACATGTATAGCAGGGGCTAGAGTCAGTTGGCATTTCAGAAGAAATGTCAGGTTTGATCTGGACGCCGGGCCACAGACGGGGTGTGCGCAGGAAGCAGCCGCCGGAGGCAGAGGCACCAGAGCAGAGGAGACAGGCAGGAAATTTGAGACAGCCATGTCTGGGTCAGGCAAAGTGGGGACAGGGTGGAGCAGGGCGGGGCGAGGTGAACAGGGGCTGTGCTAATTATCCCTCCTTAGTGCCCAGGCAGGTGGCCTCAGACTGGGAGCTCTGGGCACACAGGCAGTGAGGGCTCTAGCCAGCCCTTCCCCAGCTCTGGCTCTCAAAGCTCAGCTGTGAGCCAGGAAGGGACCTGGAGGCTCCTGCCAGGACTGGGCTGACCCTGGTGAGTCCCCTTTCCCCAGGAGGCTGTAGGGAAGGAGGGCAATTTTGGGCAGACGAGGATGACTGCGGTCCAGCCCTGCAGCATCCTAGCTGAGAGCCCAGGATGCTTTGCTTCCTACGCCGAGTCTTGGGCCCTGTGGACAGCTTGGAAATGCAGGCGGCGGTGTCCACACATGCACACAAGGACCTTTCTGATGCTGGGGAGAGGATCAGATGGGCCTGCCCTGTCTCCGTGGCTGCAGAGGTGAGAGGAGGAGAAGATTTGAGGAGGTCACACAAGGCCAAAGAGCTAGGCTCCCCTTGGGGCTTTGAGGCCCTTCCCCCAACAGCGCTGTCCCTTTTCCTGCAGATACTTAGCGCTGTTTTGTACTGGGGAGCCAGCCTCCACGGCTGGACAGAGATGAGACCAGGCAATGGGCAGACCTCCTGGCTGACTCCTGCAGCTGCAGCCTCTATGTGTGCAGAAGGCGGCCAGGACAGGGACCCAGGTGACAGCACCAGGGGGCAGAGCTCAGGCTTGAGGCCAGGAACAGGGGAGCCACAGCAGATTCATGAGTGAGGGACGAGTGACGCCAGGCTTGCACTTCAGAAAGGTCATTCTACAGCCAGACGGTGCAGAGAGGCCAGACCAAGACCCTGCCTCCTCTGCTGACTCTTAGGGGTCAGTTTCCTCTCCCTCCAGCATCACAGTCCTCCGGGATCCCCGACCTGGCAGCTGCTTCAGTGTCCCGGGAGATTCATTCCACCCTTACCCAAATCTGCTCTGCCCTTCATCTGCCCCTAGGCTTTGCTCACACTTGGCCTCTTCGGCAGCACCACCCCTGGGTTTATGTGAACTCTGCTTTTCATTCCAGAACCTCTTTCGGCGGGGCAGAGCATGGCTCCCCAAGTCCCACAGACCTGGTCTGGAACTCAGCTTCACCGCCAACTGCCTGTGTGACCTTGAGGAAGTTACATAACCTCTCTGGGGCTCAGTTGACTCGCCCCAGAATGAGAGAGGTGGCTGTGACGTTAAAGGAGGTGACACATTTCACTGTTTAGCACTGGATCTGTCCTCACCATATTAAGGACCAACTCACGCCCAGCCCCTTAGGGGAGACCTTCTCCCTCAGCCCTGTCTCAGACCTCCTCTGGGACCCATAGTATCTGCCACCCTGGCTCCATCCAACACACTTCAGGCTGGCCTGTCCACCCTGCTGGCAGGAGCTTGGAAGTTCTTTTTCCCCAAACATTCCTCATACAGCCCTCTCCCCCTCCCCGTAGACTCTGCTGGTCCCATCCTCCTATGGCAGGATCCAGGGACCAGAGGACAAATGAAGGCATCCCATGAGTCTATTTAAAAGTCACACATCGAGGCCGGGCGCAGTGGCTCACACCTGTAATCCCAGCACTTTGGGAGGCTGAGGCGGGTGGATCACCTGAGGTCAGGTGTTCGAGAACAGCCTAGACAACATGGTAAAACTCCATCTCCACTAAAAATACAGGGGGAAAAAAATAGCTGGGTGTGGTGGCGGGCACCTGTAATCCCAGCTACTCGGGAGGCTGAGGCAGGAGAATTGTTTGAACTGGGAGGCGGAGGTTGCAGTGAGCCGAGATCGCGCCACTGCACTCCAGTCTGGGCGACAGAGAGAGAAAGAGAAAAAAAAGCTATGCATTGAGCTAACCAGCTGTTAAGTAAAACAGGCTCTGTCTTCCTACTTTGACAGGTATTCCTTTCCAAGGACCTGGAAGGCCAGGTTTGACGTTGGAATTGTGACTGTCAGAGTCTCGTGCTGGAAGGTGATGGCCGGGGAGAGTCAGCCCCTGTCGTCCTCCAGCCCTTCTGCTTCCCTCACTAACTTCCACCTTGCCTGGCAGGGGTCTTCTCAGGGTGCACCTGAGGGTGCCCACCTGGAGCGTCTAAGCTCAGTTCACACCCTTCAAACTCAGCAGCCCCTTGGTCGAAAGACAAAGGCGTCAGTGGGCGTGGGGTCTGCCCTTCAGACAGAAGGAAGAAGACCTCAGCGGGGAGAGGGGGCAGCTCTGGGGCAGGACATTTTGGTGTCCTGGGCCATGCAGGCAAGTCTCTCTCTTAGGATCCCATCTCTGCCACTGGGTCTGGGGGAATGAATGCCTGCTGGTCTACTTCCTCGAGGAGAGGAGGTATTTTTTCACCCAAAAAAAATTAAAATAATTTTTAAAAATTAAAAAATGAGACTAATAGTCAGTTCCCAGTTCTCAGCGCTTCCATATTGCTGATCATCTGAACACGGCTAGGTTTCTAGCCTATCATCTTACTGGCTTTAAAAATATATACACGGCCAGGCGCGGTGGCTCAAGCCTGTAATCCCAGCACTTTGGGAGACCAAGGCGGGTGGATCACGAGGTCAGGAGATCAAGACCATCCTGGCTAACACGGTGAAACCCCGTCTCTACTAAAAATACAAAAAACTAGCCGGGCGCGGTGGCGGGCGCCTGTAGTCCCAGCTACTCGGAGGCTGAGGCAGGAGAATGGCGTGAACCTGGGAGGCGGAGCTTGCAGTGAGCTGAGATCCGGCCACTGCACTCCAGCCTGGGTGACAGAGCGCGAGACTCCGTCTCAAAAAAAAGAAAAAATAAATAAAAAATAAAAAAATAAAAAAATATATATATACACTTATCATCTATTTTGGTTTGGTTTTGTTTTGTTTTTGAGACAGAGTCTTGCTCTGTTGCCCAGGCTGGAGTGCAGTGGTGTGATCTCGGCTCACCGCAGCCTTGACCTCCCAAGCTTAAGTGATTCTCCTGCCTCAGCCTCCAAGTGGCTGTGACAACAGGTCATGCCACCACATCTGGCTAAATTTTTTTTTTTTAAGAGATGGGGTCTCACAATGTTGTCCAGGCTGTTTATTACCTATTTTGACTTCTTCCCCTTGAAGTGTGGGTTCATTGAGGGCAGAGATTCCTGTCTTTTGTTCATGGGAAGTTCTCAGGGCCTGGTTCAATTAAGGTGATCAATAAAAGATTCGTTACATGAAAGAAAGAAGGAAGGAAGGAATGATACGTGGTTTTGTAACTCCTGCCCTGGCAAAAGGAATAAAAGGAGTGAGGACATTTCTCCAGCCTACACATACTCACACTCCCTGCCTGGGACAGTTGCCCAGTGGTTCCTGCCAAGGTTTGACTTCAGGCACCTGCCCCACCCCGGGTCTCCCTGTTTGCTGAAAGAACTGCGCCTGCTGGGCCCAGGACCTGTGGCTGGAGGAAGCATCCCAGAGCCAATGGGGCCTGGAAGAAGAGGCTCTGGCTTAAGGAACGTGTCGCCTATTCACCAGCAAATAAAGACAGATGAAGCTCTGGCAGACAATCTATCTGTCTCTGTCTCTTGTTTCTCTCTCCCTCTCGCCTCTTTCTCTGTCTCTCTTTTCCCTTCCCTACCTCTTTCTCTCTGTTTCTCTGCTCTCTTTGCCCTTTTGGTCTCTGGGTCCTGGACTCTCAGAGCAGCCTGGAATCTCCTTCCTCCACACGATTGCTGTGGTGCTTTTTTATGTTTATTTTTTAGAGATGGGATATCGCTCTGTTGCCCAGGCTGGAGTGCAATGGCGGAATCATGGCTCACTGCAGCCTCCAACTCCTGGGCTCAAGTGATCCTCCCACCTCAGTCTCCCAAGTATCTGGGACTACAGGTACAAGCCACCACCATGCCAGGCTAACTTTTTTTTTTTTTAATTTGTAGCAACAGGGTCTTGTTATGTTGCCCAGGCTGGTCTTGAACTCCTGACCTCAAGAAATCTTCCCACTTTGGCCTCCCTAAGTGCTAGGATTACAGGTGTGATCCACCACGCCTGGCCTGGTGTGGTGTTTAACGTTCACCCTCTCTATCGGATTTCAAGCCCCAGGCAGAGGTAGGCAGTGTTCTCTTTGTAGCTGGGCACTGGGCACGGGGTGATATGGTTTGGGTGTGTCCCCACCCAGATCTTATGTTGAATTGTAGCTCCCATAATTCCCATGTGTTGTGAGAGGGACCCGTTGGGAGGTAATTTAATCATGGGGGCGATTCCCCCATACTGTTCTCATGGTAGTGAATAAGTCTCATGAGATCTGATGGTTTTATAAGGGGAAAACCCTTTTCCTTGGTTCTTATTCTCTCTTGCCTGCTGCCATGTAAGACGTGCCTTTCCCCTTCCACCATGACTGTGAAGCCTCCCCAGCCACGTAGAACTGTGAGTCCATTAAACGTCTTTTTCTTTGTAAATTACCATAAATTACCCAGTCTCGGGTATATCTTTATCAGCAGAGTGAGAACAGACTAACACACAGGGCAAGAGCTTAATACCTACAAAGGTCACAGGGTGATTCAGCAGTGGTTTGGGTCTCTGTGTTGTACCTGGGACTTGTCATCGGGGTATATGGGCCTCCCTGGGGTCTCTGATATGTCACTGACCCCAGTCCTGGACAGGAGCATGGAGCAGGATCAGGGTTGCTCCTCCCAGAGCCCCGAGGCCACCCCAACTTAACTCACCTTCTTGCAGAGCTGGGGGCCAGGCCCAGCTTACAGACAGTGTGGTTGGGTGGAAGGTGAGGTGGCCTTTGAAGGGGCCTCCCTCACCCTCTGGAGGTAAGAAACAGATTTTGACTCTGGAGGGACGGCTCAGACACAGGACCTAATTGAGGACTACCTAAAACAGGGACAGAGTGGAAGCATCTTTCCATTGGACATGCCCACCAGTGTGCCATGTCAGTTTACTATCGCCATGGCAACACTCAGGAGCTACTGCCCTTTTCCGTGGCAAAGACCCGATGACCCAGAAATGACCACCCTTTCCTTAGAAATCTCTGCATAAACCAGCCTTTAATCTGCATGCAATTAAAAGTAGGTATAAATACGGTGCAGAACTACCCTGAACTGCTGTTCTCTGCCTGGGGGGAAGCCCTGCTCTGCAGGAGGATTCATGGAGCTGTAACCCTGCCCCTCCAATAAAGCTGTTTCTCCTACCTCCAGCTTGCCCTTGAATTCTTTCCTGGGTGAAGCCGAGAACCCTTGCAGGCTAAGCCCCAATCTGGGGCTTGCCTGTTGTGTGTCACTCCCAGACCCTTCCCTGGAGGTCCTGAGGGCAGAGCTGGACCTTCCTGCCACAGAGGCCCTGTGGTCACCCCGGGCCTGGCTGGAGCTGCTCACAGCTTTCCTGGCACCTGGCCGGTGAGATGCAGACCAGCCTCTTGCTGTCACCACACAAACAGACCCACAGTGGGGAGAGCACCTTTATTGTCAGATACAATAATAACGCTACAGGCTGGTGGTCCCGCCCGCCTCTGACCGCCCCTCCATGAAGACACACACTGCCTCTCCAGACCTGCCTCAAGGGCCAAAAGAAGATCCCAGGGCCCAGAGGGACCAGGCCACAGCCGAACAGGAGTACCAAGAGCACTGGAGACAGTCACTCCTGCTGTGAAGACAGAGTGCAGTGCCCCAGGGTGGCGCCAGCACCTTCAATTCTCTGAGTTTGCTGTCGTGGCTGTATCCCAGGTCCCAGTCCAGCAAGAGAGGAGCACCAGGGCTGAGCTGATCACAGAGACCCGGGCCCCAGAGGCCTTGAGGGCTCCAATCAGAGCTGCTCTGGGCTGCTAGGGACCTGGTGCCTGCCGTGGAGCCTGCCAGGCTCCCCAACTCTGGAAGGTGGGAGGCAGGAGCATCTCTTCCCAGCAGGCCTGGGACTCTGTTTCCCTCTCTGCAGTTTGCAAAGGGGACATTGGACTTGCTGTGCCATGCAAAAGTAGCAAACCTACAGAGTCCCCTGAGAGACGAACTCATGGGGTAGAGGCGGAAAGTCCCACCTCTGACAGACACGCCCATGAAATGCTGCCTCCGGCGCAGGGATGGGACGGACCCAGAGAGGGCGGGTGGGCTCAGTGAGGCTGGGAGGCAGTGGCCGGTGATGCCGATCTGGTTTTGGGGGGCCCTTGCACCCCCAGTGCTGCTCTCTCAGGGTCCTCAAGTCTGCGTGGCTGGCAGTGACTTATTCAGGATCTCCCTGGCCTCTGAGAGCAGCTGCAGGCCAGGCCGCGTCCCCCCAGCCAGTGGGGAAGGGGGTTGAGGAATGGAAGCCCCAGGCCCTGCAGGACCCTGCCTATCCCCTCAGACCGGCTGGCCCAGCCTCCCCGCAACCCTGCTTGCCTTAAGGAACCATCCTGGCCCTGCACCCTCCCTGTCTGAGTTTTCTCGCAAAGAGGGGAAGCTGGCAGGGTCGAGAGAACATGGCTTCAGGAACTGAGGGGCCTGGGTTCAAATCCCGCCCCTGCCACCCATGACCTGGTGGCCAAGGGAGGGTTATTTCTACCATCCGAGCGTCGGTCCCCTTGTGAAGTGGGGATAATAAGCTTACCTCCTAAGGGTTAAATATGAGACAACGTAAGGAAAGTTCCCTGGACAGGGCCAGTTATAGCAGGGACTCAATACATGATGGGTATTAGGATTATTCTTATTCCCAGCACCCAGCCCACCCAGACCCCGTCTCCAGCCGGGAGTGGGGGTGGGGGAGGGGCAAGGCCAGAGAAGGGCTCTGATGAGGGTGCTGGCCCCTCCAGACCCTGCCCCTGGAGACATTATCTGTCCCCAAAGCCCCCCAGGTCCTCACAATCATCCATGCCTGGAGCCCAGTTCCCCTGGGGGCATCTTTAGGAACCAGCGGCGGCTCAGGCCTCTGGGGCTGGGTCTCTAGCCAGGACAGGGTGTCCTGGAGCAGTGGGGTCTCACTTCCTGCTGCTGGCCTGGTCCACGCTCTTCTGTCCAGGGTCGGGCCCAAGCAGGGCAGCAAGAACCCCATCGGGTCGGGGGCCACCCCTCTTCATCTTGAGGTTGGCTTTCAGGGCGGCATCCTGGCCAGAACCTCCCTCCGGGGAGGCCAGGGGATCTGGAAGGAGAGCAGAAGGGTGGACTCGAGGTAGAGCCTTAGGAACACTTGGGGGCACCTTTGATCATGATATGTGGCTGCGGAGAGATGCTCTTGTCCAGCGTGGAAAAGCAAGGCAGCAGCAGGCTTTCAGCTCCTGATGCATTCATTCATGGATCCATGCATCCATCCATCCATTCACTCATTCACCCATCCGCCTGTCCATTGACCCATTCATCCATCTGTGTATCCATCCATTCATCCATTCACCCATTCATCCATCCACTCAGTCATTCATTTATCTTTGCATGTATCCATTCATTCACTCATTTACCTGCCCATCCATCCATCCATCCATCCATCCATCCAGTCATTCATTTATCTATGCATCTATCCATTCATTCACTCATACCCATCCACCTATCCATCCATCCATCCATCCATCCATCCATCTATTCATCCACTCACCTATTCACCCACCTACCTGTCCACTCACCCATCCATCCACCCATTCATTAATTCATCCATGCGTCTATTCATTCACTCATTTACCCACCCACCTGCCCACTCATACATCCATCCATCCATCCATCCATCCATCCACTCAGTCATTCATTTATCTATGCATCTATCCATTCATTCACTCATTTACCTGCCCATCCATCCATCCATCCATCCATCCATCCACTCACTTATCCACCCACCCACCTGTCCACTCATCGATCCATCCATCCATCTATCCATCCATCCATCCATCCATCCATCCATCCATCCATCCATCCACTCAGACATTCATTTATCTATGCACCTATCCATTCATTCACTCATTTACCCTTCCACCTATCCATCCATCCATCCATCCATTCATCCATTCACTCACTTATTCACCCACATACCTGTCCACTTATCCGTCCATCCATCCATCCACCTATGCATTTATTTATCCATGCCTCTACCCATTCACTTACTCATCCATCTATCCACCTGTCCATTCAACCATTCATTCATTCATCTATCTATGCATCCACCCATTCATACATTCATCCAGGCAACCAGCCATTCGTTCACTTACTCACCCACCCACCCAGCTGTCCATTCACCCATTCATTCATCCATTCATTCTCCAACAAATGCTGATGGGCCTGTGCTCCAGGCCCTGCAGAAGCACCATTTACTGTTCTGCACAAGGGACTCCCAGAGGGTCACAGAAACACCATCCCAGCATGGAATGGAAGGCTCCCCAGAGCGCCATAGGGACAAAGAGAAGGGTTCAGAGAAGGCTTCACAGAGGCAGAGATCTTTGAGCGGTCCTGAAGTGGCAGTCAGTGTTCACCAGGCAGAGGGATGGCCCAAGCAAAGGCATGGAGGTGGGAGGGGCCTCAACATGGCTTGGCAGGGCTCTGGCCACCATGGCTATACTAGGGAGGGGCTGGGAAACTGGGCTGATGCACGTGGAAGTCCGTCAAGGGCAGCAGGGAGCCACTGAGGGTCTTTGAGCAGGGGAGGGGCAGGGTCAGACTAGGGGTCAGAGAGGGAAACCAGAGACCAGAGGCAGCATGGGAGGGAGAGGAAGGAGGGAGGGGAGATTCCCAGCCTGCTGGTCCTGGTCACTGCTCACCGTGGATCCCAATCATGTGCTCCAGGATGAGGACTCGCTCTGCCAGGATCTTCAGGGCCTCTCTCAGCTGCTGCACCCCCTCACCCTGGCGGGGAGGAAACGGCCAGGGTCAGGGCCGGCTGTGAGGAGGGGTTCAGGGCCATCCTGATACAGTGTATGTGTCCTCAAATCCTCCACCCCTGCCTCTTCCCACCTGACACCCTCACCACTGCAAACAAGCATAGACTGAACATCATCAACTATGTGCCAGGCAGGGCTTCAAACCCTGTTCACAGACAAAGAACTTGAAACACAGAGAGGGCAGGCAACCTCCCTACAGCCACACAGCCTGGCAAAGCAGTCGATCTAGACTGCAGATCCACACCTGTTGGCCTCTAGCCTGGGCTTTTCCTTCCACCACAGCTGCCTGTCAGCTTCCCTGGCACGCCCTGAAAATACCCTAACCAGGACAGAGCACCTATCCCAGGGCCTGAAGGTAGGAGGTTCTTTGCTTGTTTCCTTCCTTGAACGCCCAACCAAGAGTTCTCCACCAAACAGCAGGCAGGGGGCAGGGTAGGTGTGGCCGCGCCAGGCAAGAAAGACAGCAGAGAAAGCCACTACTTCACAGTGCAGGCGGGCAGGCTGGCACGCTGGCACAATGGCGGAGTCTATATTTCAAGGGCCCGGTCTACACACGGGCAGAGGACCTTCTGGACAGAGACACCTGAATGAGCCAAGACAGGGTGCTGACTTATGGAGAAGGCAGGTGTCAAGGCCACTCTGAAAAGAAAAGGGATGTGAGGAGACAAAGCCGTTGTCCCCATCCTGCCCAGCCCTGGGAGTTGGCAGCAGAACGGGTGCCTTTTGCTGGTGTAACATGACAGGTCTGTCTTACGTTCAGATTAATTTAGCTTAAAATGAAACAAAAGGAAGCCAAAAAGCATCCTACTGGGTTATAGGAGAAAGGTCTGCCTACCAGGGGGCCAAAGGCAATGGGAAGTTGAGCCAGTTACAGGGTCTGGGATGGGGATGTCAGTGTCCTGTCCCCAACTCAGGGAAGGGGAGACCAAGGGTCTGAGCCTCATGTTCCTAAGTCATAGGTGGTTTTTTATTTGTTATTTTTATTTTTTTTAGTTTATTTTTATTTTTATTTTTTATTTTTAGTTTTTAGAGACAGGGTCTTGCTTTGTTGCCCAGACTGGAGTACAGTGGCATGATTACAGCTCACTGCAGCCTCAACCTCCTGGGTTCAAGCGATCCTCCTGCCTCAGCCTCCCAAGTAGCTGGGACAACAAGCACACACCACCATACCTGTCTCATTATTATTATTATTATTATTATTATTTAAGAAATTGGGTCTCGCTACGTTTCCCAGGCTGGTCTTGATCTCATGGGCTCAAGCGATCCTCCCACCTCAGCCTCCCAAAGTGCTGGGATTACAGGCCAGGGCAGGTTGCTGCTATGAAATGGAGGGGGTCACGGTCACCTCTCAGAGTACGGCTGTGAGGGACCAGTGTATCAGGCTCATGCCTCAGCCGCTCTCACTGCCTCCTGCACCCTCCACAGCGCCTTCATTCCAGCCTCTTCCCTTTCTCTGGTCTTGCAAGGACCTCCTGAAGGTCCCCCAGACCCACCCTGGCCCTTCTGTTTTGCCCGCCCAGCTTTGACACACCCAGGGGACACCCCTCTCAGGCACTTTCATTTTGAGCTTTCAAGGCCTCCCCTGCCGGTCCCCAGGCAGCAACAGCATTCTCATTCTCTTGCAATCACTGCTGTCCTCAGCTGTGTCCCCTGCTGGGCTGTGAACTTCTCAGGGCAAGGACCCTGTATCCCTGGTGGCCGAGCACCCAGCTCAGGGCCAGCTGAGAGGAGTTTGACTTTGGACCTCAAATGAGCCCTTCATCCCCTTCAGCCATGACCCCAGCCTCAGCCTCCCCTCCTCCTCCCAGAAGCCACAGGTCCCCACAGCCAAGCCCATGCCCCAGCTTCCCCCTCCCCGCCGGCCCCAGCCTCTGCTTGCTCCAATCTTCTCTCCTCAGATTCCCAGTTTGCAAGTCCCTCTTCCTCCATCCATCCTGTCCCACATCCAGCAGCTCTGTCCCTTTCAGTCCCCCAGCGCCCTTGACCTTGTGGGCATGTCCATGCCCAGATGCCATTCACGGGAGAACCCAGTCCGTTGAGAGGGACTCCGCAGCCTGAAGCCTCCTCCTCCAGGGAGACTGTCTTTCCTACAAGTCTGTGACTCCTCTCCCTGTCTCGGGAAGCCCCCCAAGGGCCAATCACCCTCTGTGGCATCCCCACCCAGCCACCTTCTCACTCTCTTGCAATCACTGCTGTACTCAACTAAGTTCCCCACTGGGCTGTGAACTTCTCAGGACGGGGACCCCATACTCCCGGTGGCCCAGCACCCAGCTCAGGGCCGGCTGCGGGTCAGTGCAGATCTGTGGGGTATCTGCCCTCCGTGACAGTGCTCACAGCCAAGGAGGCGGGAGGGAACATGGCAGGCAGGCACAGTTACCTCTGCAGCGGCGGCTTTCTCTCCTTCTTCCCCCTTCACGCCAGGTTCACCCTAAGAAGCAAGTCACACAGTCAACACCGGAACTGGAGGTGGGGGCACCTCTCCACCCTCTCCAGTTCCCTGGGGGCCTGCGGGGAGTCAGGGGCAGGCTGGGCAGGCAGGGCCTGGGGAACGGGTGCTAGGCACCCCAGGGACTCCTGCCCTGGGGTGAGCATAACAGGGGAGGCCACGGCTCTGGGGCAGAGCCTGCTCAGCTGGCACGGCAGGGACGGGTCCAAGGTGGGCTGTAGGTGCTTCATTCTGTTTGTGGGGCAGAAGAGACTCAGGCTAGGAAGCCAGCAAGTTCTTGCCTGGGCCCCTCCAGGATCGAGTAGCCTGCCTGGAAGGGCTGCTGTCTGTCTCTAACACAAGGCCAGTAATACCAGATTCAAAGTCACGTATTTTACTGTATTTTATTTATTCATTTATTTGAGACAGAGTTTTGCTCTTGTCACCCAGGCTGGGATGCAGTGGTGTGATCTCGGCTCACTGCAATCTCCACCTCCCAAGTTCAAGTGATTCTCCTGCCTCAGCCTCCTGAGTAGCTGGGATTACAGTGCCACCATGCCTGGCTAATTTTTGTATTTTTAGTAGAGTTTTTTAGTTTCACCATGTTGGGTAGGCTCGTCTCGAACTCCTGACCCCAAGTGATCTGCCTGCCTTGGCCTTCCAAAGTGCTGGGATTACAGGTGTGAGCCACTGTGCCCAGCCAATTTTTTGAGGGTCTTACTCTGTTGCCCTTGAACCCTCTCTGCCTCCTGGGTTCAAGTGATCCTCCAACCTCAGTCTCCTGAGTAACTAGGACTACAGGCACGCACCACCACCACCCAATTCATTTTTTAATGTTTTTGTAGAGATGGGGGTCTCACTACATTGTCCAGGCTGGTCTTGAACTCCTGGCCTCAAAATGATCCTCTTGCCTTGGCCTCCCAAAGCACTGGGGTTACAGGTATGAGCCACCACCATGCTCGGCTCACAGTAACATCCAAATGTTCAGCTACTACTGTGTGACCTTCAGCGGGTCACTCTGCTTCTTGGTGCCTCAGTTTTCTCACCTCTAAAATGGGATCAGTAATACTATCTATCTCATCTGTTATTAGGAGAATTAAGTTAATCAATAGGGACAATGAGCTTACATTAGAGCCTGGCACCTAGAAGTGCCATCACTGTGTCTCCTCTGTTGTGTTTGGTCACTAGACAAGCACAGGAAGAGGCAAGGCTTGGGTGCTTGACACTCCCCGGTTCAAATCCAGGCTCCACCACTGCCTCGCTGTGTGGCTTTGGGCAAGTTACGTAACCTCTCTGAGCCTTAGTGGCCAGTTTTGGCAAACGGGGATAATAAAGCATGGTCTCTTGGGGTTGCTGTGAAGCTTACATGCGCTGTCGGGGAAGAGAGCACCTCCACTGTGGCCAGCACATAGTAGGTGTTCAGCAAAGCTCCATTCCTCCTCCCCGCCGCCCCACACCCCTGTAGTGAGGCTTGGACGTCAAGGAAGCACCTTGGCCCTAGAGGCAGAAGTCGAGACTCATAAATTCTTTTTTTTTTTTTTGAGATAGAGTCTCACTCTGTCGCCCAGGCTGGAGTGCAGTGGCACAATCCCGGCTCACTGCAACCTCTGCCTCCGGGTTCAAGCAATTTTCCTGTCTCAGCCTTCAGAGTAGCTGGGACTGCAGGTGCGCACCACCACACCCAGCTAATTTTTGTATTTTTAGTAGAGATGGAGTTTCACCATGTTGGTCAGGCTGGGAGACTCATAAATTCTTGTTTCCAAGAAAGTCGATTAGAGGCCGGCTGTCTAAGCCTATTTTGGGGAGGTTCAGAGAAAAGAAGGGACTTCCCAGGTCACACAGCGTGTTAACACGTGGCCCCAGGCCACACAGCACATGAATGAAAGGCCAGGGTCACACAGTGCATTAACCCAGGGCTGCAAGCGCTCAGGACTGTCAGTCCACCCTCTGGAGATGGCTCCCCTCCTCACCCCGCAGCAGGAGGTTATTTGAGTCATTTCTCAGTTACTCCCTGTTGCCTGAGCTCCAGCAGGGCCGCCCAGAGCCAAACCTCCCACCAACCCCAGCCACCCAGCGCCCTGGGCTTGCATCAGAGCCTCTGCCTGGGAGTGGCCATCTGCACAGCCCACACTTACGGACGGCCCCACCGTGCCTCGCTCTCCAGCCAGGCCCTGCAGAAAACCAAAGGCAGCACGTGAGGCCTGCCTGTCCCGGCCAAGTCTCCAGTACCCTCTGGCCATCCCCATCCCCACCCACTGAGCTCCGAGTCTGCAGAAGAGGAAGGGAGAGGAGGATGGCCTGGCAGGCAGGGGAAGGGCAGACTCAAAGGCCTCCAGTCCTGGAGCCACCTGGAGCGGGTATTTGACTAGCAACCCCAGCTGAGCCCTCAGTCTTCTCGCCTGCAAAATGGGCCAATGCCACGTACGGCTGTCAGGCAAAGATGGGGAGCAGGTGGCCCAGTGTGTGGAAAGAACCAGTAATACTAACAGCAATGGCCAGGGTCCCCCGTGTGCTGACGTCAGCCTAGACGGCTCCCGGGAGCCCCAGGCCCATGAACAGCTGTCCCCTGACATCTCCACCCAGCTGACCATGAGGTGCCCACTTCCCCCGTCTCCTAAGGGAACTCCTGGTGGCTCCCACCCCCAAGCCTCCCCTTCTCAGGAACTGCCTCCCTGGTCCTCCCAGCTCCTCCAGGCACACACCAGGGAGTGAACCCAGAGCCTTCCCTGCCCTTCTCACAGACTCATTCCATCAGCCAGACATGCCGAGTCTACTTTCTATTTTTACGTATTTAATTAATTTTTTTTTTGAGTCAGTGTCTTGCTCTGTCACCCAGGCTGCAGGGCAGTGGTGCCAGCAGAGCTCACTGCAGCCTCCAACTCCTGGGCTCAAGCCATCCTCCCATCTCAGCCTCCCAAGCAGCTGGGACTACAGGTGCACGCCAGCACACCAGGCTAATTTTTTGATTTTTGGTAGAGATGGGGTCTTGCTATGTTGCCCAGGCTGATCTTAAACTCCTGGGTTCAAGCGATCCTCCCACCTTGGCCTCCCAAAGTGCTGAGATTACAGGCATGAGCCACCACACCTGGCCCCTCAGAGGCGTTTTTTAAAGATGTAAATAAGATCATGGAATCACCCTCCCTGAAACTCAGTAATTCCATCCACTGTAACAAAAGCCCACACTTGGGTCCCATAGGTAAGGCCCTGCCCACTGCGCCTCATCCCACACCACACACTCCTTTGCTCACTGCCTGCCAGGCTTTTCCCTGCCTCAGGGCCTTTGCACCTGCTCTTCCTGACTTCTGACACAGCTGCAGAGGCAGGGCGAGCCTGGGGTTTGGGGGCTGTCAGGCTTGGGGTGCCGCCTCCCCATGGGCAATTATCAGGGCAGAGTGAGGGGCTGAGGCAGAGATTCTGTGACCTGGCCCAACTCTGCCTACACTGTCTGTGCAACCTCAGGCAGCAGCTGGTCTCTCTGGGACTCAGTTAGCTCATCTGTGAAATGGGGGTGGTGCTAATACCTCCCTGACATGACGGGAGGAGGATATAGTCAGCAAAAAGTCGCTGCTGCTAATAAAATTAAAATCTTGGCCAGGTGCAGTGGCTCATGCCTGTAATCTCAGCACTTTGGGAGGCTGAGGAGGGTGGATTACTTGAGGTTGGGAGTTTGAGACCAGCCTAAGCAACATGGTGAAACCCCGTCTCTACTAAAACTACAAAAACTAGCCGGGCATGGTGGCGGGCGCCTGTAGTCCCAGCTACTCGGGAGGCTGAGGCAGGAGAATCGCTTGAATCCAGGAGGTGGAGGTTGCATGAGCCGAGATGGCGCCACTGCACTCCAGCCTGGATGACAGAGAGAGACTCCGTCTCAAAAATAAATTAAAAAATAAATAAAACAAAATAAAGTAAAATCTCACCGGCCAGGTCAACTGGCTCCTTCCTGAGTGACTCCTGCTGCTGGTAAGAAGTGCTTCTTCTCCCCTCGGGAGACAAGGCCACCCCTCCCCCCCCCGCCTCCCACACCATCCCTAAAATGGCCAAGTCCTTACCTGGGATCCAGGTGTTCCTGGGGGTCCTGGGGGACCTTGAGGCCCAGGGGGACCTGTGGACAGAGTCACAGATGGTCACCTGGGGCCAGAGAGGGGCATCCCCAGCTTCCCGCCCCAGCACCTCTTCTGGATCTGTCTCCATGGGAAGCAAAGGAGGGTTTGGGAATGAATGGGGCAGGGGAGGAGGGAGGAACAGCCCCTGTCAACTAGGTCTCCATCCTCAGAGCTCAGGGCCCTCTCCACTGGCTGCTCACAGCTCCCACACCTCCTCCTCCCAGGGCCTCGTCCACGAGGCAGCCCCAGTCCCGAGACCTGGCAGGCGAGGGAGGAAGTCCATCCAGACCGGTCCCGTGCCCCAGCCAGTTGGTCCCCTGGTACGTCTCTCAGGTCTGTCCCCGCTCGGGACCTGGGACCCATCCCTCTTGCCAGGGTTACTATAGCAACCTCCTGACCATCCACCCTCCCTATGCACCCCAGAGCACGCTTTCAAAAATCCAAGCCCAGTTAGGTCTCTTTCAGGGCTCCGAAGTCCTCAGCCTGGCCCCTTCCCACCCTCCCGGCCCCAGCCAGACACCCTCCTGGCGTCTCTGCTAAAGTTGTCCTTCCTCCTGGAGCCTCCCTATCCCTCCACTCTCCCAGCAAACCCTTTCCTATTGGTTTTCTTACTAGTCTGACACGGAGCATCACCTCTTCCAGGAAGCCTTCCCAGCTTTCCACTGCTCCCCTAGGCAAATCCCTTATGTAAACCAGCCGCTGCCCATGGCCACTGAGGTTTTCACATCTGTCTCCCCCATGGGCCGTGGAGTACCCAGAGGGCCAGGCTGGGTCTCGTGTGTGTGCCCAGCTCAGGGAGGGAGATTCACGACTAATCTCCAGCCTGCTAGGAAGAGTGAGGCCTTGGTCTCTCATGACCCCACACGGGTCCTTGCCTCCTGTGGTGCAGGGAGCCCCTTGTTGGGCTGTCCAGCATGGCCTGGCTCCCAGGTTTGGAGAGGGCATGTGAGGACAGGCACTCCAGGGGACAAATATCAGGAGTCTGTCCAGTTCTCCTGAGACCTGGCATGTCACCTGAAGGCTCCCAGGTACCCTCTGGGTTCACTCCCTCTCCTCCCTAGAGCATCTGCTGAAATGTCACATTTTGACGGGGCCTCCCTGCCACGCCCCAGCTTCTCCCTTGTAGCTCCCTCAGATCCTGTTAAAGTCACAATTTATGATGACATTTCTGTCCTCCACCAGAATGAGAGTTTCACGATGATGTTTGTTTTGATTATTCAGGAGTCCCGGGAACCTAGCTCACTGTCCAGCACATGTAGTAGCAGATGCTCAACGAATGTTTGTAAGATGCACAGAGGAATGAATGAATGCATGCATGCATGCATGCATGAATGAATGAATAAATAAATGAACGAATGAATGAATAAATGAACGAATGAATGAATGAAGGAAGGAAGGAATGAATGAACGAATGAATAAACGAACGAATGAATGAACAAATGAATGTATGAATGAATGAATGAATGAATGACTCCCTTCCCAGGCAGGGAGCGGCAGGGGAGTCAGCCCTGCACTCCTCCCACAGTGAGGAATGTGGATGATGGAAGGTCAGGCCAGGACTGAAGGCCAGGTACTGGCCCATTTGAGCCCCAGTGCCCTTGGTTTCTGCCTCAAAAGTAGGGACTTCCTGCCACCTCTGTCCTGACCTCATCCCCCACTGGTGTGTGTCCCTCTCTGGCCCATGCAAGGGCAGCCTCATGCAAGCATCTTATTCCAGCAGAATCATGTGGGTTTCTTGCATCCAGTCCCCCAGGGGCACTGCCACCAGGAAACGAGGGGCTTCACTTCCTGCCACACAGCGGGTGGGACAGACCCAGTCCCCAGCACTGTCCGGAAGACATGGACTCCCAGCCAGCCTTCAGCTCCCCTCGAGGCTCCATGGCTCAGGCCCAGCCCTGGGGGCATGGAGTCTTCAATGCAGGCCAGTCCACCATTCACTTACCTGGTGGACCAGGGGGGCCCTGGGGTCCTGGGATGCCCGCCAGCACTGTGTCCACGATGGCAGAGGCCAGCCTTGAGTCTCCATCTGTGGGAAGAGTGGAGCAGCCAGGGGTCTGGCGGGGCAGACCTGGCAGTGCTGGGAGGCTGGTCCTGGGCACTGAGCCCTGAGCCAGGCCACACGGAGCCCAGGGGGGCTCCTCCCATCACCCTGGGCCCCGCTGCAGACACTGTTGCCCCCACTGCTCAGAGGAGCACGGAGACACCCAGACAAAGAGCAGGGAAAGCCAGGTCAGTCAGCTTCATATAAAACACAAGTACCTTCTAGAACAATATCCAGGCTCTGCAGACTCTGGGTCTGCCCTGTTCATTTCTCCAATGCGCCAGGCTGGCACCTTCTTCCAGGCTCCACTTCACAGGCCCATCCTGCTGCACCCAACTGGTTCACTCCTCCAGGAAGCCCTTCATGCCCACCCCTCTGAGCTGTGCCTGAGGTGTCTGATTCCATCACAGCGACCACACTGCCTGGGACAGGGGTGGGGTCTAACAACCCATCACCCATAACCCTCCATGATGAGCCCCCTGCCTGATTCACCTTGGCCATCCCGAACCAGACCCAGGGCCCCAGGGCAATGCCATCACCTTCCTCATAAAACCTTTCCCCAGGCTGGGCACAGTGGTTCACACCTGCAATGCCAGCACTTTAGGAGGCCAAGGAGGGAGGATCACTTGAGGCCAGGAGTTCAAGACCAGCCTGGCCAACATAGTGAGACTGCATCTCCAGACCAGCCTGGGCAACACAGTGAGGCCCCATCTCCACTCAAAAAAAAAAAAAAAAAAATTAGTTAGATGTGGTGGTGCATGCCTATGGTTCTGGCTACTCAGGAGGCTGAGGTGGGAGGATCCCTTGAGCCCGGGAGTGAGAAGCTACAGTGAGCTATGATGGCACCACTGCATTCCAGCCTGGGCAACAGAGCGAGACCCTATGTCAAAAAAAATTAAAATTAAAATCTTAGTTGCCGGGACACTTAACCAGAAATGATATTCCTCTCAGGGCTCATGGACTCCTATGCCTGGCCTCCCACTGCCTCATGGTCCCTTGGGCCCAGAGTCCTGGTCCTGTCCACTCTCTGCACCTCCCTGTCCCCACCTCCCAAGGTACAAGTGGGCATTTCTGTGTGTTCAGAAGCTGTCTTGGACTGGCCTGTGCCCCCGAGGGCCAGAGTTTGTTTTGCACACTGCTGTATCCCCAGTGGCTAAAACCGTGTGCCCTGCACATAGTAGGTGCTCATTAAACACCTGCTGAACGACCTGCAGTGAGGACGGTTGAGGAAGAAGTGCAACAAGGCATAACCTCGCTGGGGTGGGGTAGCCAGGTAGGGAATCTGGGCCAAGTCAGCCAGCAGAGTGACCTTTGGGGCTTGGGACCCCAAAGGCAGGGAGCTGAGCACTGAGGCAGAGACAGGCCACTTTGGGGCCAAGAGCAGGGCTGGGAGCCAGCACTGGGTTCCCCTGGGGATGCTCAGCGCGGGGGCCAAGCCTTGCTCTCAAGCTGTTCCCTGCCATTGTCTCTGGCAGGCCCTGAACACTGCATGGAGGGCTTCCTGGAGAAGGCGTGCAGGAGTGAGCCAGTTGGGTGCAGCAGGATGGGCATGTGGAGGGGTCCACTTCCCAGGATCCTTTAAGGAAGGCCGATCCCTGCCAGAACACAGCATAGCTCAGCCCTCCCCCGGCCCCCAAGCGCGTCACTCACTGTCTTTGTCTGTAGGTGGCTGCAGGGAGTAGAGGGCGCCCTGGGGACTGTTTGGTGAGGGGCCTGGGCTGCCTGCTGGGCCGGGTGGTCCTGGGGGGCCGGGGCGCCCCATCTCTCCAGGAAGCCCCTGGGGCCCTGGAGGCCCCAGGAGCCCTGCAATGAGGAAAAGAACAGTCACTGTGGTGGCTGGAGCCTGGTGGGTGGCTGCGACATTACAAATGGGGAAACTGAGGCCCTGAAAGAAACAAGGTTGGTCAGGGACACACAGCCAGTCAGTGGTGGCCTCCAATCCACAGTCCTCCTTGGGGGTGTCCTGGGGTGTAACTGAAATGGGCTCCCCTTCCCAGCCCAGTCCAGAGGGGATACTTAGGAGCAGCTGGGGAGGGTGAGCGGGGCAGGGACAGTGAAATCAACAAAGGCTGTGGCCAGAGGCCCATTGGTCCCTCCCAGGGACCTCAGCCCTGTGGCAGGGACACCAAGTGTAAGCCATCATCCTGGGCTGGCCCTGTACCTGCTGAACCAGGAGTCCTTCCCCTGCAGGACCCAGGAGGAGTCGAGAGGGTGGTCTCTGGAGGTGTTTAAATGGCTGAGAACAGCTCCTGGCCCCTGACAGCCTCGACACTCATGCCTGTACCCGAAGCCCCCTGAAGATCCTGTTTTGGCCAGGCGGCGTGGCTCACCCCTGTAATCCCAGCACTTTGGGAGGCTGAGGCAGGCAGGTTACCTGTGGTCAGGAGTTCAAGACCAGCCTGTGGTGAAACCCTTCTCTACTAAAAATACAAAAATTAGCTGTGGCGGGCACCTGTAATCCTAGTTACTCAGTAGGTTGAGGCAGGAGAAGTTGCTTGAACCTGGGAGGTGAAGGTGGCAGTGATCCAAGATCGAGCCACTGCGCTCCAGTCTGGGTAACATAGCACAAGACTCTGTCTCAAAAAAAAAAAAAAAAAAAAAAAAAAAAGTGCCAAGTGCAGTGGTGGCTCACACCTGTAATCCCAGCACTTTGGGAGGCCAAGGCGGGTGGATCACCTGAGGTCAGGAGTTCGAGACCAGCCTGACCAACATGGTGAAATCCCGTCTCTACTGAAAATACGAAACTAGCTGGGCGTGGTGGCGGGCGCCTGTAGTCCCAGCTACTCAGGAGGCTGAGGCAGGAGAATTGCTTGAACCCGGGAGGCGGAGGTGGCAATCAGCAAAGACGGCATCACTGCACTCCAGCCTGGACGACAGAGTGAGACTCCCTCTCAAAAAATAAAGAAAAAAAGACCCTGTTTTTCTTGTACTCAGCAAGATCAGGGCTGTGGGTGCATGGGACACCTCGCCTGTTCCGGTAGGGGAGAGAGCCCAGCCCCTTCCGCAGGTTGACAACATCATATATGTGGGGGGTTTTCATACCAGGGGGCCCTGCTGGGCCCTTCTCTCCTGTCTGGCCTCGGTCACCTTTGGACCCAGGGGGGCCTGCAGGCCCTGGTGGTCCTGTCTGCCCTGGGGGCCCTGGGGAGAGAAGGAGACACAGCATCAGAACACAGTGGACCCCCAGCCTCCAGCGGCTCCAGGCTTGGCTCCCTGGGCCATTGGCCCACCTTCCCCCAGGAGCCCCGCCTGCCTGGAACTCCCCAAACAGGCAAAGTCACTCACATCACCTTGGAGTTGTTGTTTATTATAATTTACAAACTAGTTTTGCACTTAGGAACATCTATGATTCCAAGAACTGCTTTCGTTCCCATTTTCAATGCGGGGAAACTGAGGCTCAGGAAGGTTGTCGCTTCCCCAAGGTCACACAGCCAGGCCGCAGCTGAAGTTGCTTAGCTCCAGGTCCCTCTCTTACACCCTACTGTCTCCCTGCTTAGGGTCAAGAACCGGGCTTGTGGCAAAGTGTTCCCCAATACGCGGCCTCCGAGGAGGCCCCAGGAGGTCCTGAAGGACGGATCTTCCCAGCTACAGGTCTCCAAGCCCCAAGGGTGGACAAGGAGATGGAGAGGTAAGGCCTGCTGTGTGGCCAGGGGACAGTCCTTTCTCCCTCTGGCCCAGAGAGGTTGCTCAAAAGTGTGTGCTCAGCACTTTGGGAGGCTGAGGCAGGAAGATCACTTGAGCCCAAGGAGTTTGAGACCAGCCTGGGCCACTTAGTGAGACCCCATCTCTACAAAAGATGCAAAAGTTAGCAGGGTGTAGTGGTGCATGCCTGTGGCCCCAGCTACTGGCGAGGGTGAGGTGGGAGGATGGCTTGAGCCCAGGACGTCTGAGCTGCAGTGAGCTATGATCACACCACTGCACTCCAGAGTGGCGTACAGAGCTAGACCGTGTCTCAGACAAAAAAAAAAAAAAAAAAAAGTTTTCTGATCTGATGAAGGGACCTGCGCGGAGTCTTAGGGCCCTTTGCACTCCGCTGCATGGGACTGTGGTATGGTGGGGAGGGCCTGGCTGAGGGCTGCTGGCCTCCGAAGAGCCCCACCTGCTCTCTGGGATCCAGGTTGGCTGCAGATGTCACCATGGGTAGGGTGTGTGCGCCACCTGGTGGCCATTCTTGAAACTGCATTTCCCTGGTTGGGAAGGTCTCGCCAGGCATCCCCTTTTGAGGGGCCTGGGTCCCCGGTGGGATGGGAAGCCCCCTCATCCTCCATCCCCGAAGAAAGAGTTGAAGAATGTGGGCATGGGATAACGCTCTGGGTGTGAGACTTTAGGGACAGCAGCTCCAGGGGTGGGCCAGCGGACCAGAGCGAGAGGTTCCCCTTCCCATAGCAGACCTGAGCTCGGCCCTCCTCCCACAGCCTTCAGTCCCTTTCAAAGAATGCCTTCAATCCCCTTCCCCAGCCTTGGGACTGGCCACTGGAGGCCACCTCTGTCATGCATCTCTCCTCCCTGCTCTGCCCCTGCTCCCCAACCCGGCATCAGAATGGACACACAGAACAGAGGGGAGGGGAGAGCGCCCACTCCAAAGGGCTCTAAGGGCAGAGAATCACGGAGGCAAAATGCCCCTGGCTTGCTGGGTGACCCCAGGGGTGTCACTTAACTTCTCTGAGTCTCAGGTGTCTCCCCTGTAACCTCAAAGCTTCCAAGCTTTGTGTGAAGATTAAGAATGGTATCTGTAGGCTGGGCGCGCTAGCTCACACCCGTAATCCCAGCACTTTGGAGGCTGAGGCGGGTGGATCACTTGAGGTCAGGAGTTCAAGGCCAGCTGGCCAACATGGTGAAACCCTGTCTCTACTAAAAAATACAGAAATCAGGCTGGCTGTGCTGGCTCACACCTGTAATCTCAGCACTTTGGGAGGCCAAAGCGGGCAGATCATTTGAGGTCAGGAGTTCGAGACCAGCCTGGCCAACATGGAAAAACCCATCTCTACTAAAAATGCAAAAATTAGCCGGGCTTGGTGGTGCGTGCCTGTAATCCCAGTTATTCGGGAGGCTGAGGCAGGGGAATCACTTGAGCCCAGGAGGCAGAGGTTGCGGTGAGCCGACATCATGACACGGCACTCCAGCCTGGGTGATAGAGAGAGACTCCATTTCAAAAAAAAAAAAAAATTATATCTGCATTTGAAATATTTTCATATCTGATATGAAAATATTTAATAATTGGCACAGTGCAGACCCTGACCACTCATGGTAAACCCCAGCCTTCAACTCCTGGATTCAGCCTTACAGAGCCACTGCACCTGGCCAGATCGTCTACTTTTTAAGAAAAATTAGAAATCCTGGCTTTTAGGTAAAATCCCCCAGTTTTCAACTGTTAGCTTAATTTTTCAAAATGCCAGGTGGCATGTCTGATCCAGGGAGCCTAGTGTGTGGCCTCTCCAGGGAGACCCTGGGATGCCATGCCTAAGGCTCCTTCGGCTGCCCCAGCCTGTCCTCTCTGCAGCCCTCACTCACCGGCTGGGCCCGTGGGCCTTCTCTGTCGTGGCCCCGGGTGAGCGAGAGGGATGGCGTCGGGGAAGAAGTCCTCGTTCCAGGGGGGAGGGGTGATCTGGGGAGCTGGGAGGTCGTTGTCGGGGCTCGCGGGCCGTTCTGCTGCTTCTAGCAGGAGGACCTGGGCCAAAGGAGACAGAGAATCAGGTCCCAGTCAGACCAGGGCAGGGACACGTGTGTGCACCCCATGAGACCTGCAGCTGTCCACGCTGCGTGTGCCCCGTCACGCTTCTTAGTGGGAGCACCTCACCCATAGCCGGGGTTCCCTCCATCCCAGCCCTCTCCTCCTTCTCACATTAAGAAAGTCTTCCTGGACCCTCAGGTTCAAGCAGTGCCTTTCGGACACCGTCAAAGTCCCTGTGCTGGCCGGGAGCGGTGGCTCATGCCTGTAATCCCAGCACTTTGAGAGGCTGAGGCTAGAGGATCACTTGAGGCCAGGAGTTTGAGAACAGCCTGGACAACACAGTGAGACCGCCATCTCTGCAAAAAATAAAAAAAATCAGCTGGGCGAGGTGGCACATGCCTGCAGTCCCAGTTACTCAGGAGGTTGAGCCCAGGAGTTCCAGGCTACAGTGAGTTACGATTGTGCCACTGCGCTCTAGCCTGGGCAACACATCGAGACCCCATCTACAAAAAAAGAGAGAGAGAGAAAACACATACACACACACACACACACAGAGACAGAGAAAAAAGGAAGGGAAGAAAGGGAGGGAGGAGAGAGGAAGGGTGAGTATTAATACGCCCCTTGTGGCACATGACCTGTAGAAGGTTTTCCAGAAAAACGAGAGTGGCCACGATTGCTTGGGACCAGCCTGCAGTGCGGCCCCATCTCTCTCCGCTTGAGGGAGGCAGGAGTCAAAGGTGGCTGAGACCCAGAGCCTGGGACCAGGAGACTTTCTCCTTCCTTTAAAGACCTGAGAGACAGGACTCAGAAGCCCCATGAGTCCCTGCTGCTCCCAAAGAGGCCGGCAGGAGGCTCAGGGTGGGTGGAGATCCCTGCTGGGAACCTGGGTGGGCCCTGGGGCCCAGGGGCGTGAGGGACCCACTGGGCTGAGCTGAGGGTCCATGGTGCACAGGCAGACGGTCTCCCTGAGTCGCCCCCTCACCAGTTCTGCAGTGCCCCTGGGCCTGGGGGACAGTCCTGGGATCCCTGGGGACAAAGTGGCCTGCTCTGGGCTCCTCCCCAGCAGGTGCATCTCCAGGGTGCACTCAGCGGCTGCTCAGGGCTCTGACCCTGCACCCAGGGTTCTGGCTGGGCCCCCTGGGCTCAGGCCCTGCTGTGGGCTGCGGAACGGGCTCTCCCTCCACCCCACTAAGGGACACAGCCCTCTGATGGCCTGGATGTCTGGCCCAGGGCCCCCTGACCCCCAGGGCCAATTCTTTCAGCCATTCCCCTCTCTGGTCCTTAGAAGGGTCCGTGAAACTGGGAGAGTCACTGTGGAGATATCACAAATGAGATGGAAACAGAGGCTCAGAGACTGCAAGTGACTTGCCCGAAATCACCCAGCAAATGGGCGGTGAGGCCGGGGTCCCAAGCAGTACCTCATCCACCAAACCACAGTTCATCCTCCCAACAGCTCTGCCTCGACCCTGGCCGAACTTGGTGGAGTCACAGAGAGCTGGGGCGGCTGGCTCAGATCACACAGCAGTGAAGGGTGGACCCCAGTCTCCTGAATCTCCGGAAGGAGGATAGGGTTCCGATTCCTGCCCTAGCCGCTGGCATCCCTGGAGAAGTTGATGGGCCAGAGCCAAGGTTAGGGGCTCTGGGGAGGAGCAAGGAGACGGTGGCTGTCAGGTCACGTGATGGAAGGGGCCTGGGACGACCAGCGCAGGGGATTTGGAGACGTGTCAGGCCCTGGTGCTTCCGGGGCTGGGGGCAGGAGGTGGGGGGAAGGCTGGAGTGTGTCTCCGTTTCAGGCCTGGCTGCTGGGAATAGTAGAAATGCCCCCAGTCGAACAAGGACATGGGAGAGGGGCAGGCTTGGGAGTGAAAGTGGTAAGTTGGGGTGGGGTGGCTTGCAGTATCCCAGGGGGACCTCAGATAGTCGTAGTTAACAGGGGGCGGTCCCAAGGACCGGGAGGTGGAGGTAAGGGACCATAAGAGGAGGCAGGGATGGTGGGGGGAGGCTAGGGCGGAGCCTGGAGAGATCTGGGGAGGGATCCCGCCTTGCGCTCCTGCAGGCATCCCCTAGCGTTCCCCATTCTGGGCAAAGCTCTGGCTTCCCCTGAAGTGACCCGCCAGCCAGTACAAAAGGCCTAGCTCTCTCCTTCATGAGGCACCTCCCACCGGGACACCCCTGCCCACAGAGCCTGCAGACCTGGACAGAGGGGCCCTGGTTGGAATCTGCCCTGGCCAGTGTCTCAGCCCTCCTGGCCTGGCTGTGGCTGACCTGGAGAAATTGATCCTATTACTGCCCAGGCATGAGCTCACCTGGGCGGGCAGCTGTGGGCGTGGGGACCCAGCCCAAGAAAACCAGGCCACGGCCTTCGGGGGCAGTGGCCCTGATGATGTCATTGCGGCCTGGTAGACTGGCCGGGGCACTGCCCTCTCCACACCAGAGACTGCTGGGACTCTGAGGCTTCCGTGACTCTTGTGTACTGTTTGCGGTCCATGAGGTCAGAGAGTAAAGCCCGGGGCAGGAGAGGGGAGGGCAGGCAGGAATCTTCCCCGGTGCCCTGCTGGCCTTCTGCCCGCCAGCCTGTCCCAGGAACAGAGGGTGGCAGAAATCCTGGACCAGCTCCTAGGTCGGCACCAGTGGGAGAGCAAATGGAGTGGACTCTGCAGGTTGCCTGGCCTCTGCTGCCCCTTCTTCCCTTGCTCCAGAACTCCCTCTTGTGCCTCTGTGCATGTGGCCCAGGAAAGGAATCAGGACTGATCTGAACCGGGCCGAGCAATCCCTTTCTGCTTGGCCAGGTACTCAGTTTCCCAGCTCCCTTGCAACTAGGAGGTGGTCACTTCACCCAGCACAGGCTCATGAAACATAAGGAGTCTGTTTGGGAGCTTCACCTCACCCTCCACTTCCTGCCTTTACATACAAGGTGAGGATGTGATGTCTGGAGCTGCAGCAGCCACTTTGTAATCATGAGGCATCAACGAATGCAGACAAAAGCCAACTCACTAAGAAGTCAGCGAACAGCCTGGCTTCCTTGGACACCAAACCAATCCTAAGACCACCTCTACTCCTGGACTTCTTGTTGAATAAACAATAAATGTCCTTATGGAATAAGCTACCATTGGCCAGGTTTCTCTCATTTGCCTCCTTCCTGACATACCAAAGCAGACTTCTTGTCTAAGGGAGCAGAAGCCCAAGTGTCCAGGCTCTGGGTTGCTGCTGTTTTATGCTGTTTTATGCTGCTGTTTATGCATCTGATTTCTGCTTCCCTGTCTGGGATCTGCCTGCCTGGCTCCTGTCCTGGCTCTGCCTTCACCCTGCTGGGATCCCAGCCTCTGCCCTGGCTGACCCCTAGTCTCTGATCTGAGCTGAAAACACAGCTCTGTGTCCTGGCTCCTGCAGACTCACCTGACCTTGGCATGGCCTCTAGTGCCGCTGGGCTGTCTTGGCAACCAGCCCATCTGGTGTTCCCTTCCCCTCTCCAGGCCGCTGCCTCTCGGGGCCCTCTGATCTGGGCCATCAAAGCTCCCTATGGGGCTGGGCACAGTGGTTCACGCCTATAATCCTGACACTGGGAGGCCGAGGCGGGCAGATCACCTGAGGTCAGGAGTTTGAGACCAGCCTGGCCAACATAGTGAAACCCTGTCTATACTAAAAATACAAAAATTAGCCGGATGCGGTGGGGCACACCTGTAATCCCAGCTACTCAGGAGGCTGAGGCGGGAGAATCACTTGAACCTGGCCCAGGAGGCGGAGGTTGTAGTGAGCTGAGATCACGCCACTGCACCCCAGCCTGGGTGATAGTGCGAGCGAGACCTTGTCTGAAAAAAATAAAAATAAAAATAAAACCTCCTAGAGGCCCTCTCAACACAAGTGGGCATGGAGTGGGCAGGTGGGCATGGAGTGGGCAGGTGGGCGGCCAGAAAGTGCTCCAGACAAGATGCAGGACCTAAGAGAGGAGCCTCCCAGCCCCTACCTAGAAATGCAGACAACTGTCAAAAGGAGGGGGGCTGCAAAGCTCCTCCATTTCTGCACACCCCAGGCCCAAGCTGTCTCCCCCAGCTCCCCACTCAAGAGCTGCCTGAGCTTCCCCACTCCGGACCAGCCTCAAAATGAAGCAACTCCAATTTCCATTTTCCAGGCCATCCGACTGAGATCCAGAGGGAAGGGCTGGCCAAGGTTGAGTGGAGAAAGGGTGGGAATCCTGGCCTGGGCTCCTGCCACGCACTGCTGTCCCTCCCTCCAGCCCTCAAGGCGCACAGAGAGGACACAGCCCTCTCGCTCAGCTCAGCGTCACAGGGCAAGCCCTGCCCCGGGCCTGCTGCTGGAGGCCATGGAGCTGGGGCCCTCGGTGGAGAGGGTGTCAGGGCCAGGAAGGCCACAGGGAGGAATTGCTCATGATGGGAGGGCGTGGGCCAGGTGGGTGGGGGACAGCTGGCAATGCGCCCCCCCTCCCCTAGAGCTGCGACTTTTAACACCCACAATACCGGGCTGAGGCCAGGGCCGCTGCTCTGCGCCAAACCACACAGAAGCTTCCGGTACTAGGAAAATGTCCATCAGGTTGGGCATGGCTCGGGGTCCCCGCCTTCTCTAAAATCTCAGATGCCAGAAGTGCACCCCTCAGCATTTTCCCCTGCACCCGTTCTAGAGGCCCCGGCCCAGCTCAGCCCATGTGGAAACAGTTGCTCCCTGGAACCCTCCACTCCTGTCCCCCAAGAGTTAAGACTCTAAGGAGAGCAGACGGGTCTCTCTCATCCCAGGCCTGGGCTGCTGGGAGACCCTGCACACCTACGGAAGGGCCGGAGGACAAGGGAGGCCGCGAATGCATGCCTTGGGGTCCCCCGTCATTGCTTTGCACAGATGTCTCCCACACACCCGTGTCTGTATCTGTAAGGCGGGAACAGTAACGTGGCTGACGTAGGTGACAGCACTAATCCCTGACTCCTGGTCAGCATTAGACCATTTCCAAAGCCAGTTCCCACTGCCATCTCCCTGGAGACTCTCGACAGCCCTCCCGGGCTGATGCTTTGATCCATTCTACAGATGAGGGGCGGGGGGGCTGTGAGAGAGTCACCCAGCTGGCGGATGGCGGTCCCACACATGTCTGACTCCAAGCCATGCTCACCTGCAACCCCCAGGGCAGAAGTCAGGGCCAAGGGTAATGTGGAGTTGTCAAGGGCTGTGTGTGTTAATGTGTGCACATCTGTGTCATGTGTGTGCATGCGTGTGTATATGTATGTGTGACCATGTGCATGCATGCTGTGTGTGCACGTATGCCTGAGTATCTGTGCATGTGACCATGGGTATTACATATGTGTGTCCCTGGTTTTGCATGTATTCGTGTGTCTGTGTGCACATGTGCAAATGTGTGTGTCTGTATGTGTATATATGTATGTGTGTCTCCACATACACACTGATGTGTGTGCACGGGTGTCTATGTGTGTGCATGTGTGTGCACATGTATGGTGTGGGTATGCATGTGTGTGTATGTGTGCTCTTCCGGGTGGAGGCACGGCTGACCCTGGCCCTGCTGTCTTCTAGGGGCTCTTGCTGCCTGGGGCTCCAGCCCCACACTCTCAGGTCCCTGGTCCTCACCCCGCCTCCCTGCCACGTGGCCCTGCTCACACACTCTCTCTGGGCAATGCCACGTGCTCCGGTCGCCGCAGTTCTGCTCCGGAGAGAGCTCTGCCTCTGGCTCAGGTGATTCCAGCCTCCTGGTGCTGGCTCTCCCCTGGGGGGGCCACGAAATGTAGCAGACCCTGCTGTCCCAAGAGGCTTTGTAGATATTTGGAGGCTGCCTCATCCCTCCAGACCTGTCCTCCCCGAGGCCAAGCCTCTCTGGCTAAACACCAGAGCCTGCTTACCAAGCCCTCTGGGTGAGAACGGGGCTTGTCCCCATCGGGGCAGACACTGTTGACGCCCCATGCACACCCCTCAGCCCCACCTGGCTTTGGCTTCGGCCTGTGGCCATCTGCAACTCTGCCAAGGGCTTTCTTCAACCACAGGACCTTGCACAAGCTAACTGAGACAGGAAGTACCCTCGGGGAAGTGTCACCCGGTGAGGGGCAGGAGAGATGTCTGGCTTCATCGCCCTAAAGTGGGCGGGCCCTGAAGTGTGCGCAAAACCACCGCCTCCCAGAGGGAGTGTGAGATGGAGCCCAGGTGCTCCCACAGGTCACCTGCCCATGAACACATCTGTACTGGGCATACCCTTCCCTGCCTCTCTCCCTGCCCAGTGCTGCCTGGGGTCACTGCCAGGTAAATTACTTGGCCTTTAGGGATTCCTTCTGCCTCTGGGCTGACTCCACTGAGGGAGTCCTCTTCCTATAGACTGGGCTGAAAGCTGGTCACTTCCCAGCAGTTCCTCCTCCACAGTCTTTTCCCATCGTTTCCTCTGTGCCCAGCCCCATTCTGGAGGTGGGAAGAGTGGCCCTGGAGGGACAGAGGCTCCCTCCTCTTTCCACTGTCCTCTGGGTGTCCAATCTCCCAGCCCCCAGGTTCCGGGAGCTCAGCACCATTCTGCCCTGCCCACAACCAGCCTGCTGCCTGGGACCTCCCGGCCCAAGAAGGCCACGCAGAGCCACCAAGGCCTGAACGGTACACAGTACCTGGGACCGGCTATCCAAGCCTGCTGGGAAACCTGGGGCTGGGAATTCCACAGCCACACCCAGTGATTGCCCGACTCCTCTCCCCACCACCCCAGGTCCCCAGGCAGCTCCCCAGGCCCAGACTCCCCAGCCCGACTGACCTTGGCCTCCAGTGTGGTCAGTCGCTCACTCATGTCACTGAGCCGGGTGCAGTTCATGCATTCTGAAAGAGAAGAGGAACTAATATGAAAGCAGACTGTAGACCCTAGGAAGAGAGCAGCCCAGTCACCAGGATAGCCTCTGGGCAGGCGGGCAAGCAGAAACATCTCCAGTCATTTTGCCTGGAAAACTCCTATTCATCCTTCAAAGCCTCACCCTCAGAGACCCCTCCTCCATGCAGCCTGCTGGACCACTGAGCCTCCCTTCTGAGCACGCACAGTACACTGTACTGTCTGTTTATTCAGACAAGGTGATGCTGTGAGCTGGTGAGCACCATGAAGGCAGGGGTCTTTTTCTATTTTGTTCACCCATGAATCTCAGTGCCTGGCACAAAGCAGGGACTCAAAAAATATCTGACAATTGATGAACAGATATTGAGGTGGGCCCCTGACTTTGAGAACCAGAGTTGGGCTAATAGACACAGACTGGGAAAGGGATGCCAAAGCCAGTCCAGTCGGTGGGGCGGGGGGGGAGGGCAATCAAGGAGGACGTCCTAGAGGCAGTGGCATCAAAGATGAGACCTGAGGAATGCACAATAACTGGCCAGGTTCAGCAGAGAGAAGAGCAAATGCATTCTAAAAGAAAAAGAAATGCATTCTGAAAGAGTGCATTTTCCGAGGCGAGAGGAGAGTGAGAACAGGGCAGGTTGGCCAACTGGGAACACATTTGGGGGCCGCCAAGGCTGGAAAGGTCAAGGAGCTCTAACACCAGGGGCCTGGGAAGGGCTGTGGCAGTGTCCGTAGGTCACTGGAGGGTCTTAGGCGGGTGAAATTCAAGGTCAGATTTGCATTTGCAGATGCTCGCTCTGGCAGCAGAGCGTGCAGTGGGTGGAAGTGGGAGGGACTGGAGCCCGGAAGGCCAATTAGGAGCCTACTGATGCTGACCCCGCCCAAGCACACATCTCTCTGGGCTGTAATTATCTTTTAATGTCTGTCTCCCCGGAGGCCCGAGACCTGGAGCTCTTTAATGACGAAATAGACGGTTCAAAGCTGTTCTAAAGAGCTTTTATTGCTCTAGAAGTCAGGGGATGCCTAAAGTCTCTCTTTCCTCAGCTCAGTTCAAAGCCTGACCCTGCACGATCCGCATCCCTTGTTAAACAGACGCCTAAGAGGTATTTGGGTAACTGGATAGCTCCCACTCGGCGCGCTGCGGCTGACCATGGTGCTGCTTGGGAGTGGTGAGAGCTGCAGCTCATGCGTACAGTCCACGGCCCCCCAACACTGTCAGCCTCCCCCTTGTTCTTGGACATATCCCTGTCTTTGTTACCGAATGCAAACCACCTTGAAATGTTCCCCGTCCTTAAAGAAAAAAAGGCGATTCCTCTGCAACAGATGTTTGGGGAGAAACCACGGGTGGTCGGGGGAGTCTTAGGACCCTGGTAATAGGTGGTCGAGGCTGTACCCTCAGGGTGCTCAGTCTCGGGTCAAGAGGGGGCAACACCCTACTCTCTGCTCCCCAGCGACACGTGGCCTAGCAGAGGGCCCCTCTCCCTGCTTCCCTCCCTTCTACTCCTGGCTGGCCCAAGTCAGTGATTTATAAGCATTTGTTAAGGAATAGAACTCTTTCTCCTCCATAAAGCCTTGTCAGTACCTCTGATGCATAAAACAGACTAAAGACTGAGGTATAAACACTGAACATTCAAACCACTAGAAGAATATATACAGTTTTCTGACTCTGGGACCAGACAGGACTTCACCAAAGACACATGATAAAGGGATGTGGCTTTCTGGTTAAACATGGTGGATTGAACACAGGTTCCCTTCTGTTTTCTCTCAGGAAAGGGCTGATAAAGAAATAAAAAGGTAGGCCGGGCGTGGTGGCTCACGCCTGTAATCCCAGCACTTTGGGAGGCCGAGACAGGCAAGGTCAGGAGATCAAGACCATCCTGGCTAACATGGTGAAACCCCGTCTCTACTAAAAAATACAAAAAATTAGCTGGGCAAGGTGGCGGGCGCCTGTAGTCCCAGCTAATCGGGAGGCTCAGGCAGGAGAATGGTGTGAACCCGGGAGGCGGAGATTGCAGTGAGCCGAGACCGTGCCACTGCACTCCAGTCTGAGCAACACAGCGAGACTCAGTCTCAAAAAAAACAAAAAACAAAAAGCAAACAAACAAAAAAAAACAAGAAATAAAAAAGGTATAAAAACCACAAAGCAAAGGGAAAGGCGGAGGGACCTCCTGGCAGATGAACAATGCAAATACTATTTTGCAAGCTGCATGCAGCCAGGTGCTCCAGCCAGCCTTGCAAACCCAAGGTAGGGATGGAAACTGGGAGCCACTGGCTCTCCTGGGGCTCAAGATGTCCCAGATGGGGCAGGGGAGGGAGTCCTCCCTGGAAACAGGGACCCACCGAGAGGAAAGATCCACTGACACTGACATTTGGGGATGTCCCTGATGAAATGGCGGAGTCCCTAAAAGACCAGCCTCCATGAAGTCCCCAGTCAACAAGGCCCTGGTGTCCAGGGTGCTTTCAGTGCCTGCTTTTTTTTTTTTTTTTTTAAACAGAGTCTCACTCTGTCACCCAGGCTGGAGTACAGTGACGCAAACTTGCTCACTGCATCCTCCACCTCCCAGGTTCGAGTGATTCTCCTGCCTCAGCCTCTCGGGTAGCTGGGACTACAGGCATGCACCACCACACCCGGTTAGTTTTGTATTTTTAATAGAGACGGGGTTTTACCATGTTGGCCAGGCTGCTCTCGAACTTCCGACCTCAAGGGATCCACCCACCTCAGCCTCCCAAAGTGCTGGGATTACAGGTGAGAGCCACCGCGCCCAGCCTAATGCCTTCCTCTTAAACTTACACAACCAATGATTCCTGCAGTGCTAAAAGAAGCCCTTAATGGGAAAGGCAGAGATCAAAATGAACAGGGTTCCATTTGTTCACCTATCTACCCACCCACCCAGCCACCCATCCTACACCTCATGCTACCCCCACCCTAAACACCCCCATCTACCCACCTATACATTCACCCTGCTCCCCATCTGTCCACCTCCTCTCCTCTACCTCTAATCATCTCTCATCCACCTGAAGGCTCTGCGGATGTTCCTGTGACTGGATGACACTGTGTCAACACTCTAATACTGGTGAGGAGAGGGGCAGGGCTGCACAGACCCAAATACCTGCCTTCAGGGGTTGTCTACTTGAAAGCAGAGATCCATGACCCCTCTCTAGTAGCTGTGTCCTGTGGGTTGACCAGGATCACTTGGAAAAAGCAAGATGGAACCTAAGTGTCCATCAGTGGTGGATTGGATAAAGAAAACAAGGTACATATACACCATGGAATATTACACAACCATGAAAAGGAATGAAATCATGTCCTTTGCAGCAACATGGATGCAACTGGATGTTGTCATTCTGAGTGAACAAACTCAGAAGCAGAAGATCAAATACTGCATGTTCTCACTTATAAGTAGGAGCTGAACAAGGGGTATACATGGACATAAAGATGGGGTATGAGGATTGAAAAGTTATCTATCTGGTACAGTGCTCAACATTTGGGTAATGACGCCGGGCGCGGTGGCTCACGCCTGTAATCTCAGCACTTTGGGAGGCCGAGGTGAGAGGATCACCTGAGGTCAGGAGTTCAAGATCAGCCTGACCAACATGGTGAAACCCCGTCTCTACTAAAAATACAAATATTAGCCAGGCATGGTGGCAGATGCCTAAAATCCCAACTACTCAGGAGGTTGAGGCATGAGGATCGCTTGAATCCGGGAGGCAGAGGTTGTGGTGAGCCAAGATTGAGCCATTGCACTCCAGCCTGGCCAACAGAGCAAAACTCTGTCTCGAAAACAAAAAACCAAAAACATTTGGGTGATGGGTACACTAGAGGTCCAATCCCTACTATTATGCATGTAACAAACAAGCACATGTAATCCCCTGAATCTAACATAAAGTAATTTTCTTTTGAGACAGAGTCTTGCTCTATTACCTGGGCTGGAGTGCAGTGGTGCAATCTTGTCTCACTGAAACCTTTGCCACCTGGGTTCAAGCGATTCTCCTGCCTCAGCCTCCCAAGTAGCTGGGACTACAGTCATGTGCCACCATGCCTGGCTAATTTTTGTATTTTTAGTAGAGACAGGGTTTTGCCATGTTGACCAGGCTGGTCTCAAACTCCTGACCTCAAGTGATCCACCCAGCTCAGCCTCCCAAAGAGCTGAGATGACAGGCATGAGCCACAGCATCTAGTCTTAAAACAAAATAACATATTTTAAAAAGAAAAGAAGGATGAGTGTGGTGGCTCATGCCTGGAATCCTCGTACTTTGGGAGGTTGAGATGGGTGGATGACTTGAGCCCAGGAGTTCGAGATCAGTCTGGTTAACATAGTGAGACCCTGTCTGTACAAAAAAATACAAAAATTAGCCAGGCATGGTGGTGCGTGCCTGTAGTCTCAGCTACTTGGGAGGCTGAGGCGGGAGGATCGCTTGAGTCCAGGAGGCCGAGAGCAGCCTGGGCAACATGGTGAAACCCCTTCTCTACAAAAAAATACAAAAATTAGCAGGGATTGTGGCATGTCCCTGTAGTCCCAGCTACTTAGGAGGCTGAGGCAGGAGGATCACCTGAGTCCAGAAGGTTGAGGCTGCAGTGAACCATGTTGGTGCCACTGCACAACAGTCTGGGCAAGAGCAAGACCCTGTCAGAGACGGGAGGGGAAGGGAGAAGAGGGGAGGGGAAGGGAGGGGAGGGGAGGGGAAGGGAGGGGATGGAAGGGGAGGTGAGGGAAAAGCACCTCTCCAGCCACACAGGAAGACACCACTCCACCCTTGGGGCCTGAGGGAAGAGGAGGAGGAGGTGGACATGGGGAAGTTACAAATGACAGCCCTGGTCTGTCCAGGAACTCCGGGCAAACTGCACAATCTGGAGGCTTTTAGGGGCCTTGAGCAGAGCGTTTCCAGGGCCTGAGGCAACAATTAGGACCTGCAGGTCCCTCCCCCTGCAGGGGGGAAGGTCAGTGGATGGAGGGAGAGGCCCGGCTCTCGCAAATACCTATTTCTGGAAATTGTG